GTGTTGCGGTCGCGGCGAGCGAGTCGAAAAAGTGCAGAACGGCAGGAGACGAGAGATAAGGCGAGGTGGCAGCCGCGGATCCAGAGTCGCCGCGGAGGTCGACGATTTCAATGGGCGTGTGACTTGGTGTGGAACCCAAATCCACGTCCATGACATCCTCTTCTTGCTCTTGTTGCGCTTGCTGCTTCTTGTACTTGTTTCGACGCTTTTGGGGTCGCTTTTCTCCGCCGAGATGCCTCACGCGGCGACTGGTCGGCTTTGCTGGCCTTTGCAAACCGCAACGAGTCCAGCTCCAATGCAACTTCGGGCTGTGCTTGTCCTCTTTCCTTGTGGATGTTGGCGACTCGTTGTAATCCTCCTCGATGGAAATGCCCATGCCTTTTGGACGCATGACGGCTTGCACGGGTTCGACAATGCCCTGGCCTTGAGCGCCGAGACCTTGGCCAGGCGTGTAGCCCATTTTCATGAGCAGTTTGAGGCCGAGACCGCCCGTGCCAGCAAACTGGCCAAACGATTTCGGGACGGCTGCTGGTTGGTGCTGTTGCGAGCCAAGCCCGGCACCGCTGTGACCGAGGCCAGGTGTGATTGAAGAACTGCAGAGGATGACGGAGGTGTGGATCGAGTGGGAGGTTGCGGTGGCCGAGGTCTTGACAAGCCAGCGCCTGAATGGCCCTGTCCAGGTCGACGGCTGCGATTACGATCGTGTCGACGAGTATGGTTGTCGTCCGAACTCTCATCGTCATCGTCGTCCTCGCCAAATCGTTTACGCTGTTTCCTGCGGCGGCGGATTCGGTCGCCGCCGTCTGAATCTGATCCGTCTTGGTCGTCTGAAGAGTTGGCATAGCGATGGCGTTGACTGTCGTGATCGTGGTCGTGGTCGTCATCCTGGTCAATGTCCATGTCGTCGAGACCGTAGTCGACAGCTTGGCCGCGTGCGTCGGTGAGGGGTTGGCCAAAGGCGGTGCGGTGGCCAGGACCAGGCCGGCGGGCGGATCGGTGAGGCGAAGAGTCTGAGGATGACATTGCCGAGGGTTGGCTCTCCTGTTGTTCTTTATTGCTTACTGTGCATATGAATTCACTTGCGGCCGGCCGTCCGCTGCTGTGATGTTGCCGTGATATGTGATATGGTCGCTGGTCGCTGGTCGATGGTCGATGGGCCATTGACGGTATTCAATTGAAATCGAGTATTTCTTAACGGCATGATATTGCATCGTATCGTGCATGACACATATGATCTTAATCCATATCGGCACAGCTTTCACGAGTCACAATCAACACAATGAACGCAATGAATCCCGCAAACGCTCCGCAACATGTCCGCGTCCGCGGCGACCTCGACTTGGGCCTGTCTCGCGTCTGCGCCCTGCTGTGTGCCATTGGCCACCCGGAGCGCACCGGGTTCCGCACGGGCGGCATCCTTCACATTGCCGGAACCAACGGAAAGGGCGGCACCACGGCATTCCTCGCCTCGCTCCTTGCTCAACCCCAACCCCAACCCCAACCCCAATCCCAGCACAAGGTGGTGGTGGCCACCTTCACATCCCCACACCTGATCCACCCGGCGGATGCCTGGCGCATCAACGGCAAGCCCGTCTCGCCCACCGATTACGACGCTGCCCGCGCTCACGTCCTTGCCCAATGGCAGGCGGCCACCATGTCCAACCCAGCAACTGGACCAAACCATGCCCATGCATCGCCAACCCACTTTGAACTCGACGTAGCCGCCTCGCTGTGGTACTTTGCCACCAACAAGTGCGACTACGCCATCTACGAGGTTGGCGTGGGCGGCCGCGACGACGCAACCAATGTCTTTCGTCCTTCCCCAGTGCTTCCCTGCACTTGCTCATCATCGTCGATCCGCCTGCCACCGCCAAACTTGCTCGCCACCGTCATCACTCGCATTGGCCTCGACCACCAGGCACTGTTGGGTGACTCGATCCAGTCCATTGCTTGGCACAAGGCCGGGATAATTGCAGGCAAGGGCAAGGCCGTGCCGTGCATTGTTGGGCCGCAGACGCATCCCGAGCAAGTTGTTGCGGCCGTGGATGACGAGGCAAAACGGGTTGGGTGCGAGCGAGTCTTGTTGGTATCGACACCCTTGGTCAATCCACATGGTCGGTTGGACGTGGGTGTGTCGGACCCGCCGTTGGCTGCACCAGTTTGTGTAGCGAGCATTCACAAGTTGCCTACCAATGTGGTCGGATACCAAGTAGCCAATGCAGCCACTGCCATTGCTGTTCTTGCCGCCATCAATCGACTCCCACCGACAAACGACATGATTGCCCAAGCACTTGCAAAAACCGTCTGGCTCGGCCGCTTGCACCACCTCCCCGCCTCGCACACGCTTCCCATCTGTCGCGGTGACACGCCAGTCCCAGTTCTTGTTGATGGCGCACACAACACGGATGGCGCAACTCAACTGGCTAGCTACCTCCAATCACTCGCGCCCGTTTCGAGTACGTGCTGGATTGTGGGACTTTCATCTGGACGCGACCCGCACGCCATGTTGACGGCTTTTGGTATTCAGCAACATGATACCGTGGTTTGTGTTGAGTTTGAGGCCGTCGAGCACATGCCTTGGGTCCGGCCCGTGGATCGGGCACAAGTCGCAGCGGCGGCAAAGGCCATTGGGGTTACTCAAGTTTCCAACGACACCAAGACCGTGCAAAGGGTGTGGAATGTGAAGCGCGAGTGGGTTGCTGGGGCAGGTCGGGTGGTGGTGGGGGCAGCTTGTATCTGGTGGCAGATGTGTATCGGTGGTTAGAGAGGGAGTATGGCGCGAGCGGTTTGGTCACAGCCGCGGGATTGACATGAAAGTTGTCGTATGTGTCAATGTCAATGATGTTGACGTTTGTCAAGGACAATGCTTTCCTGAATTTGCTGGTTTCAATGACGGAGTTGTGCCTGGACTTTGACGTTGGCTTTGACTTGGGCAGCGGAAGCACTGATGTTTGCGGTGGACGCGAGACACGCGACTTGGGCCGTGACGAAACAACGGCGGATTGATGCGGTGCATTGCGGTATCGGCTGACCCAAACCCTACTTGAATGCCGCCATGCCCGCCCGTCGCCCGCTCTCGGCTGCTCACGCATTGTCCTCAATGCAATGAATGTACTTCACAACGACGAGGAGTAACAATTTGCCAAAATGCTCGGTCCCACCCATTCACATGCTCATCAAGCACCAGTAGATTGCAACAGCCCGGGCTGGACGTGACGAGGAGCAACCCGATGGCAGCCACAGCGGCCGATGGGGGATCGGGCGGGCTTTCCTCGTCATCGACGTCAACACCAGAGTACGCTGCTGGACCAACCTCGTCATCGCGTGCCAGCATCCATAGCGTACGCAGTGGGGGTAGAAAGAAACAAAACAAGTCCGAGTCTCCGACCTTTACAAAGTTTCTATCGAACCTGCTCCGAAAAGCCCTCGGTGGCGGCAGCGGCAGCGGCAGCGGCATTGCCAACGGGCCAAAGTCGCCAACCGACAAGCGCCAATCCGATCCTGCCGCCACTTCGACTACCGCGCCACCAGCGTATCAGCATCCACAACGGACTAGTAGTAGCAACGCGCATCATTTCGCTCGACAGCCTTCCCCGCCATCCACTCCGTCCGAGTCGCTCCAACCTGCTCTTGCCACCGCGTCCCTTGTACACCTCCCGACCTCCCTCCCGGCGCTCTTTGCCTCTGCCGCACAAGCATTCGACACGGCCGCAACCCGCCTCATTGCCTGTGATGAGCCCCTCGCCACTACCCACGATGACGACACAGTTTCCGCGACCTCGACCGAATCAACCCGGCTATGGCACACACTTGCTTTGCACCTACGCTCGACCTTTCCCGCACACCTCCGGCACCTGCTCCAGCCCGTGCTCACGCCCGTTGACCTGGTCCCCTACCTCGCGTCGCTCCTCGCCGAACTGGCGCTTGACGTTTGCCAAACCCTGGTGCCTGGCAGCCCACTCGCCGAGGACCAGATACACGCTCTGCACGTGTACACCAACCTCGACTCGGACGCACATGTCCAAGAAACCATCCAAGGCATTGTCAAGGACTTGCTGCTGACGCTCGCGGCCATTCACCCGGCTTGCTTGCCAGTGGACCAGGACGATCGCGCTGCGCTGGACTTTGCGTGTCGCGAGGCCGCCCGGGCCGTTGTGGGCATGCGCGCCGTGCATCCCATGCTTTCGCTCGACTCGCCTGCGGCGCACGCGCCCCTGGATGCCGACCTGCCTGTCGTCAATGTGCAGTGGATCGGGATGGATGTCGGAAGGGACGTGAGGCCAGGCGGGCGCAAGGTCGTGAGCGATGCCAATTTGGTCGCATACGTTGTGTTTCCTGGTGTGCACGTGCCCAATGGGGTGGATGTGGGTGACGCCCACGACGCCATGCCTCGGCCCGTGGTTGGCGCGTACCATGACCCGCAAGCTTACTTGGCTGGAAGAAAGCGCGATTTGTACGCGGCGGCTATGGCCGCAAAGGCAGCAGCAGCTACCGCCAAGCTTGACAAGGATGCGCATGTGTCCGAGTTGGAAGCCGCCATGATGGCGCATTGGCATCATTTGCAGGTCGAGTGCGAGGACCAGAACGAGCTCGAGCGGCAGAGGAGGAGGGCGGATGAGGAGCTGATTTTGGCCAATGCGTATGGCGCGCAGATGACGTTGTTTATGGCGGATGGCATTGTCGATGGGTAAACTGTGGTCGGTTTTTGAAAGATTTTTGCATTTTTTTTTTGTAGATTAGTGTTGTGAGACATTGTAAGCAAGGGATCTGAATTTATGACGTCTACAAGGCAGTATCCATTATTATATGTATTGTCAATTTCGCGTAAAGCTGAACACGGGTTCGACGAGGATTTGCAGGCGCGTGATGTGTACGAGTTCATTTAATCATGTTCAGGGGGTGCTGTAGAACTCACTCGTAGAACCTGTGTTCAGTTTTACGCGAAATTGGCAATACCTCATGCCAAACAAAACCAACAGAAAACAAATGAAAAACGATACTGCGCCCGCCGGGATTCGAACCCGAGTCACGACCTTGGGAGGGTCGTATGATACCCCTACACTACAGGCGCCTGCTATGGAATGTGTCACCAAAATTGCTACAACCTCAACGTGCTTGGGTTCATCACATCGGGAAACATCATCGCCTGTCGCGGAAGCCAAGTCGCAACGGTGCTTGCGCTTTAGCTGAACATTGTGATTATGGATCCAGTGTTGAGTTGGGGTGAGCCGGACTTGCGATCTGCGAGTTGGATTGGAGACTTTAGTGAACGTGTTGGTTGGACTTGGCGTTGCCGTCGCCCCGCCATTTTTTTTCGCTCTCTCGTCTCCCATTCAGCTTGCACAGTGCATATCTAACGGTATTTGCAAACCGTTGACGTGCTCCGCAGGCTACGGGACGACCATCGCTCTGCCAACACGTTCAGTCCAGCTTCCTCACACGCCTCGTTTACCGATGATGCCAAAGGGGTTCTTGTCATTATTCATGGCGTGTTTGCTCCGTGACTTCCAAACATGCCAAGACAACGGCAGCAATCCTTGACGACCATGGGACAAGGGGAACGGGTTGTCAACTTGCCATGATGCATGGTGGCTGATCAAATGATGGAGCTTTTTCCTCATACATCATTATTTCTGCACTTCAGGTGGACGACCAGCCAGTTGGGAATATGATACTGGGTTGGATCAAGAGTGTGGGACAAGGGGCACAAACAACATGAAAGCGGGCGGTTCACTTCAGAAACGGCGGCCAGTTCATTGTGATCTCAGCCTTCCCTCCGACTTGACCCCAGTCTTTGCTGCTGCTGCAAGCGATATTTACACATGTACGGTACTTACCTCTGGATCCCTTGTTCTCCAAGAATGCTCGTTATTGACATGACGTCAACATCTCATTCGCGGCGTAAAGAAGAGCAGTCGCCCTCCCTCTCACTCGTTAAAACACTTGCAACTCAAACCTACCCGCACTGACCGAATCACACTGAAAACAATGAGGTTAAAGAACACCTGATCTGAGGAATCGCCTGGCGGCCCAAGGATCACACACGGTAGGCGAGAGCCGAACTCTTCGCCTTGCCTTTCCACAACAAAACGAGAGCACCAGCACCCGCCAAAAGCAGTATGAAGCGTGAGTGATTCGAACACCCATTCTCCCTTCTGATCTGGAGTCAGAAGCGCTACCGTTGCGCCAACGCCCCTCTTGTTACTAAGTATCGATTCTTAGTTGATTTTTCTGTTTGAACACATTGGACCAAGAAGAGCCGCCAGTACAGTGAATTTATAGGCTGGACTGGTCAAAAGAGATGTTTGAGGAGAAATACCTCCGATCAGATGATTTTCCGGTCTGTTCAGAGTGTCTTTGGCACGGTTCCGGTTGTTCGTATGTGAGACAATGACCAATGCTGGCGTAGTTGTCGACGCGTTTCGGCTGCGAACCGGACATGATGTGCGAACGAGGCCAGATTCAATCCAAAATTACGGAAGCATTGGTTCATATTGAAGTACACTCTGAGAGATTGCTGACAAGAACCCAAGTTGCTCGGCACAAGATTCGGTCTGGATGAGTTCTAAGTTTCTGTAAGTGAAATAATGAACATCGCGCCATTTGCCCTCCCAGCCAACTTCCCTGTGTGATATCGTTGCAAAATTGAATCCTTAAAAAAGTGTGAATAAATAAATGTGCAGTGCGCGCAGAGAATGACGAGATTGATTGATACACATGAAACCATTACGCGCCGCCAATATTTACCCGGACGCCAACTCGGTGATAATCCTCACGGCCACATCCAAGAAGGCATACGGCGAAACCACCTCTGCCCCAGCCGACCCTGCGCCGACACCTCCAATTCCACTCCGCAACAAGCTCGATCGCCGCCGCACTGCCTGCCTGGTCCTTGCCGAGTTTGCCATACTCGAGCTTGCTGCAAAGGACGCAGGCGCTGATGCGAGCGAGTGTGGGTCAATGACCGAAGACGAGGATGTACCCAAGAGGAACGGGTCGGGCACAAGGCTCGAGCTTGGCGTACTTGATGCCGACTTTGCTGCTGTTGTTGACGTAGACGTTGAGATGGAGTTGGGGAGCAGAGTGGCGGGACGAGCTTAAAGTCAACAAGGAAATATGCGGTATCGACCTTGTACAGCTGCACATCAAGCTTGACAATGACCTTGTCCTTGGCTTTTTTCTCGACTTGCTCATCTTGATCCTCATCATCATCTTGCGCGCGCCGCCCAGTGCCGTTGTCGTCGTGCGTGTCAAACTCGTACCGTGCGCGAAGTGCAAAAGGACCAAGCGGCTTCCACTCCATGCCCACGGCGGCAAGCGCCTTGTACAGCTCAAGCATCACGTCAATGGGCGGCGACCGTGACCGGATGCCTACATGCCACTTTGACCGCGCCTTACGTGGCGGCGCCGGTGCGGGTGCGGGACCGGTCTGCGCCGGTTGCGCCGGTAGGTGGCGATGAGGAAGAAGAAGAAGCCGGTGGGGCCATTGTCCTTGGAACAAACCGTTTCACGTACCAATGTCTGCGACGGCGGGCTGCGGTTGTGGATGCGGGTTGTGCGGCAAGTGCCGCTGGTGCTGTTGTGCCTGTGCTTGTGCCTGTGCTTGTGCTTGTGCAGACGCGCCAGAAGGTGGCGTGCCCGACATCCAGTGCACGTCCTTGAATGCATTGGCCGATCGGTTGCCCGACCACAAGTGGCGGTTGTCTGCGCACAGCATGTATGCGACGCGCACAGGGTCGTTGGCATCATCATTTGCGTGCGCGTTGGGTTGCGAGGCGTCATTGGAATCGGCGGGCGGCGGGTCGTCGAGCAGGCGAGCGAGGATTTCGTCGCGCGACAGGTGCAGTTTGGAGGCAAGTTCGTCGACAATCGAGTCGTCGAGTGGGACAGAGTCTTCTGCGGCGTTGGGATCGTCGGCTGCCGCCGCCGCCGCAACGTCGTGAGATGAAGAGGCGTGTGTGTGATGGTGGACGAGGCCAATGGTCGAGTATGGGATGGGCGGAAGTGGACTGAGGTACGCTGGAAGGTCCTTTGTAAAGAATGGGTGCGATCTGACCTCGGCCAGTGTGATGCGCTTGAGCGGGTCGACGATGAGCATGGCTTGGACGAGCGAGCGAGCGTCGGGGGACATGAAAGCAGGGATGGCGTATTGACCTGATGAGATCTTTTGAAAGAGGGCGGGGATGTACTCGTCTTCAAAAGGTAGACGCCCAACCAGCATCACGTAGAGAATGACGCCAATGGACCACACGTCCACCTCAGGCCCGGCGTACAGTTTGCCAAGAATGACTTCGGGGGCGGCATAATTGGGCGATCCGCACGAGGTTTTCAGGAAATCGCCGTCTCGCAGCGAGTTTGATAGGCCGAAATCGGCCACTTTGAGGTTCTTTTGCGAGTCCAAGAGCAAGTTCTCAGGCTTGAGGTCGCGGTGGACGATGCGGTGGCGGTGACAGTACTCGACGGCGCTGACGAGCTGCTGCAAGAAGCGGCGGGCCTCGTGCTCGGCCATGCGTCCGCGGTCCGAGATGTAGTGGAAGAGCTCGTCGCCGGCATACTCCATGACCATGACGAGGTCTTGCGGGGTGTGGAGAACCTCGTAGAGCTTGATGATGTGCGGGTGGCGCAGGAAGCGCAGGTAGTCGATTTCGCGGGCGACGCGCTGGGGCATGCCGTGCTCGCGGGCGAGCTTTGCCTTGTTGATGAACTTGAGGGCCACCTTGTGGTTGGTGAGCGTGTGCAGGGCCAGCTTGACCTTGCCGAATGAGCCCGCGCCCAGCGTCTCAATCACCTCGTATGCGCCGATGCGCGCCTTGATGGATGCCATTGCCGAATGCTGTGATATCGATTGCCCAGGGTGTGTTGTGGTCTGTGATATGTGGATACATGGAATACGGTATCCAATGGGGCGGCGGCGGCGGCGGCGTCACGGCCGGCCGACTGACCGATGGACCGATGTCTGTGCCCGCGGCAGAACTCCGGACCTGTCATGACGGCGGCACGTGATGGTGATGGGAGGACACGGTGGTAGGTATCGAGTCAGTCATGCTCTCTCTCTCTCTCTGCTCATTAAATACATACGGACGCAATAACCGCATCGGATCATCGTCATGTCTGGCCGCGCTTACCGTCGACTACTCAAGGAAAAGGAGGAACTGGCCGCCGCCGCCGCCGCTGCCAAGCTCAACACGCCGGCGGATGCGGATGCTCATCCCGATCCTCTGGTCGACACCGACCATGATGACGAGGTCCAGGGCAGTGCCGACCATGATGACGATGACGATAACGCACCGCCCGCGGCAGCCCCCAAGCCCTTCAATCCGTTTGCTCTGCTCATGGCCGATGACGATGATGATGATGATGATGATGATGGTGCTGATGGAGACGACCACCTCTCGGATCAAGAACCACCGCCAAGGGCAACGTCCCAGCCCGCACCCAAGGCTGAGCCCGAGTCTGACTCTGACGCCGACGTAGAAGAAGCCCAAGTCATGCCTTCCAAGCCCTCCAGGAGTGCCAAAAAGAACAAGAAAAAGAAGAACAAAAAGGCAAAGGCCAACAACAACGCCAACCAAAAGTCGGTCGACGACTTGTCGCTGCAAGAACTCGATGCCGTTCTCAGCGAGGTGGCCGGCTCTGCTTCCGCGGCGGCTGTCGTGGCTTCAAGTTTGCCGGGCTCGTCGTCCTCGTCGCATACGTACGTTCATACTTTCAAATTTCTCGCACGTTTCGCACCCACAGCATCATTCACTCGGCAGCACTCGTCGTTGGGGTGTTGAATATCCGTGTATAGGTCACACCTGACAATTGACCCAAAGCACCTCGACCCAGACACGGAGCTCGCCCGCCTCTTTGGCTCGTCTGTCGTGCGTGATGCCCAGCGCAACAATGCTGCAAACGACCAAGATGCCGCACTGTTGGCTGGAGCCCAGCCCGCGGCGGGCGGTATCCGCCGAAACCGCAATCGCGCGCGCAATCAGCAAGCTGCTGCGCAACCCATCCTGTCACTGCGCAAATCCACGCTCGCAGGCACTCCCGACCCTTCCTGGCCGCCGTATCACCTCATGGGCCTGCACACTCGCAAACTGCGCGTTCCCCACACTTTGCTGTCCACATCGACATCATCCGAGTCGCCCGACACCCAACCAGTCGTCGAAATCACGGCCATCACGCACACGCCAACCTACCAGCGCCTGCACTCTGCCTACTTGACGTCTGCCCTGTCGGGCGACCCAAACGCTCTGCTTGCTCTGCGCCACCAAGCAGCCTACCACCCAGACACACTGTTACGCCTCGCACACGTCGCAACCATGTACTCGCAGCCCGACCAAGCAAAACTGCTGCTCAGGCAGTGCCTGTACGCCCTGGACCGCGCTCTGCATGTGCAGTGGGCGCCCATTCCACCGCGCATGCCCTACCTCGTGCCAAACAACAGGATCGTGCACTTGGCGCTGCTTGCGCAGGTCACGAGCACGGCTCGCATGGCGGGCGGGCGGACTGCGGTCGAGGTCGCAAAACTGCTCTTGGCGCTGGATCCCGAGGCCGATCCACTCGCCATGCGCGACGTACTGCCTGCGCTCGCAGTGCGTGCGCGCGAGTCGGCCTGGGTCATGGATTGGATGGACTCGGAGGCCCGAGGACAAGTGGACTTGAGGCCGCATTGGGTGTTTTCAAAGGCGTTGGCCTTGTGGCAGATGGATCGGGTGGATGAGGCAAACAGCCTACTTGAACGTGCCGTGCGTCAGTGGCCCGCAATTGCACGTGTCATTGTGCCGAGCGTCACGGTTGTTTCCGACACGCCCATGGCGTCGGCGGCGGCACCGGGCGCGTTTGCGGGCGACGCGGACGAGGTATCGCCCACGGTCGCTTGTACATGCATTACGCATCGCACGTGTGGACTGACCCGGCCGTGGTTGCTTGGGTCGCCGAGGCACTTCCGCCCGTCGTGCATGTCAAGTCGATCGACGTGCTGCCGCCTCAGCTTGACGCGCCCGACGGCTACTTGCCCGTGTTCCGCCACATTGTTGCTACCGACATTCAACCGCTGGCCGGCCGGATTCCCGCCGAGTATCGGACAGGCGCGTACATGAACGCGATTGATCCCATGCCCCCGACCATCCCGTCGCCATTGAGTTTCGACGGCAAGGAGGTGTTTGAGGACGTGTATGCCGACGGTTGCGCATGGCCCAAGGAGGCGGA